GGACGTGAATGAGCCATGCGAATACTTATGAAGTTAAACGGGGCAAAGCCCGCGGGTACAGCTAGTTAAGGAATAAATTACGATGCGAAAGATATTCAACACTATCTTGATTGGGAATTGTTATTAAACCCAATTTTACGAGGCGAAATACAAATTAAAGATTTCTACCATAGGGAAAGGGTTAAAGTATTACACCGCAAATTTTGATAACATTTGGATCCTACAATGCATAAGAAATAGGGAATGCTAAGTACCTTTGGGGATGAACAGACAGCAGTTCTTCCACAATGTATAACGGAACGTTGGCCAGAAGCAAGTGCAACAGTCATAGGAATTTATTAGTGATAACTAAAGAAACCTTTAAATGGATTTGAAAATTCAACGCTATGTGACTATTAAAGAGAAAAATACCTAATCACCCACTAAATATTCCACTGTATTAAAACCATATCAATAAAGAAGATGTAAAGTCCTGAGAAAGTTAAATATTAACAATGCTCTCTTGTCCATATTTCAAGATATAATTTTCTTGGAATAAATCTCCCTCGAAAGTTATAAAGAAGTTTCCCCTTGTATTGACCAAATTACTTTCAAGACCCGCTTTCACTCCTGGAAGTTAAAACTTGTCTCGAGTTTGCCACTTCTTACTTCATAGTGGTTTTGGATCCAAAATCTTTGAAATAACTTTAAAATGTGCCTATTCCTTTATTTTCTTAGTAACTGTAAGCAGCAAATTTATAAATTAAGTTAAATTTAACTGTTGACGTTTTCCTTACAGAAAGCTAAAAATCTAAGAAGCGTAGGAACTCACAGAATGAAAATTGGCTAAGTAGTAATATGTTTAGGGGACTAATCTGTTTTAAATGTTAAATGGTTTAGTGAAAAAAGCTTTAATTTTGGATGTACTGTAATTTATTCCAGACAGACCTTGTACCTTTTTACAAATAATTTCCTGATATTAGAGTGTTGAAACGTCGTGCGGGGTCTTAAGTGTATGGAAAGGGTTGAGTTAAAATGGACCCTAAATTCCTACTTATTGGCGTATAAGTAATATTCATTATTGACTACTGTGGTTAAATTATACATACTTAAGTTATTAGTTAACGAACAAAGTTGTTTTTTTTTTATAAGAGTGGACTGTCATGTATATTTATATTGAAATTGGAAAATATCATAAATTTAAAAGTTTGTAATGATTAAAAACAATGTTTTCATAAGAGAGGAAGTGAGAAGGATATGAATAAAATATGAGTAGAAACTTTAGTTTTACATCTCCTACAAACTTATAACGAATCCACACTTTTAACAACGCAAGTTGTTTAGAGTTTTGCATTTTTTTGTTTAAACTCTAGCGTCTAATTTTAACCATACCTTTATGATAAGTATAACAAGTGACGTTTGAAACTCGTAGATTATAAAGTTTTTCTCAATCTATTACACCTATTCTCCAACCAGTTCAAACCAAGCTATGTATTTAAATGGGATGAAACGTGGATGGCAAACAAAATAAAATCTTTTAATTAGTATCTGGAACATTACAATTGTTAGCTAAACTAATAAAGGTGAGTGTAATTGGAACTGTATAATATACAGTTCCAATTACACACATCATAATATACAGTATATTACGCCAGGCAAAACTACCTAGTGTGTACCTTCTCTAACAATCTATTAATCATTGCCAATAATTAATCGTTTCTGTCAATAAGTTATTTTTGGATAATAGTTCACTGAGGTTGATTTCTTTAATGTTATCCCAAAAATCTAAATCTTACTAAGGCATTTTCCACAGTTAACATGCTATCTTTAAGAAATATTTTATTCGAAACTTGGGACCACGTTTTCTTTCTTAGTTATAAACGGGATTTAATAATTATAAAAACTATCACATACGGTTTCATCAAATTAACATTATTTCATGTAAAAGAATTTGTTGGATTGAGGAGAATTTCACCTTGAATCGTTTCCTTAATTTATAATTTCCTCGTATACTTATAGTGACCATGATAAATACGTTTTATGGGACACCACTACCTAAGCGTATACTTATCTTTTACCCATTTGACTCCAATATATTTCTTTTTCTTTAGATTTTATATTTGTAATTTAACAGTTCGTAATATATGATTGTAAATGCAAGGAAAATCAAGCAACATATTTTTTATGTTCTTGTTGAAGTAAATGTATACGCACAGTGCAGGTAAAATGGCCAAGTTATTTTTACGACAACCTCAAACATCATGCATATTAAGTAAGTGTTTGGACCTCGGTCTTTCACTGACAAAGTAAACTCTTTCTGACTGACATTCCTTACAGTTAGATTTTCCATAATAGTCCATTCCCATAATAATTAAATGGAAAATCAATTATGCCATAGAGGCTAGCAGGATTCAGCAATGTTTTTTTTTAAGAGGTTGGCGGCCTCTTGTTGTGTAAGTAGTTGTTTATGCATTTTATTATTGTTGGCTAGTAGGTATGAAAGATAAAACTTGGTCTCCCAATGAAAAGGTTAAATAAAAATCTCCCCATCATGTGCTTAGGCTAATTATTTACCAACGGATGAATACAGTTACGATATGATAAATAAAATAGTAAAGGAATAAATATACAATTAACCAAACAAGATGTAAATGCTGCAAACTTAGGTCGAGTTTTTAACTTTATGTTGTTTCTAGTAGGTTAAACGTCTCCATTACGTACATATCCTTTATTGCAGTTTAAAATAAGTTTGCGATTTTCTTGTGTTGCTATTAACTAACGAATGTATTCAGTAACATATTACGGTTGGTTATATAACAGCAATAAGTTAAATAACTAATGTTTAGGAAGTAAAGATTTGCGAAAAGCAATTTTTTCATGCTATAATTGGCTTAGAAGTCAACTAAAATAGTTTGGCCTTTAAAGGAAAAAAGAACTCATAAATATATTTTTCCAAATATGTTTCTTGAGCCGTGATAAGCTGCCGGCCATCTTGTAGGGTCTGAATTATACAGTGACCACCCAAGCCACTCCGGAAAGTAAAGTGTTAAATCACTGACTTGGCTTTTCATGCCTCTTATCCTTTGTATGTAAGGATCCCTTTAAATGTAAATCTTTCTCTCTTTTATCGCATTCTATCGCAAACTATGATAAACTACAATTAATGGTATGATATTTTTTTATCATAGGATTTTTGTGCTAAAATTAGAATTAAAAAAACAATCCTGCAACTCATAGATAATACAATTTGTGATGTGCTTTCTGGAAAATTTTCAGAATCTTTACGAAAAAATATCTAATTTTATTAGGCCTACGTAATATTATAGACCATCTTTTTTTAGATTTGACTATTCAAAAAGCCGAACTGTGTTAATATTTCATGCTAGGCTTAGTATATTACAACAAATCTGTGAACTCTATAATATTTTCCCTCTGTAGACGTTTTTACAACGAACTAAAAATACAAACAAATAAATTACACTAGAATAGTTTTAACACTGCTAAATGGTAATATGAAAGGACAAAACAATAAATATGAGCATAAATTTTAAGAATTGTTTATTTACTAAAACATGCGGATATTTACCCTATGAAATATTTAACTATAATGGTAATTGCACATGTTTTGGTAGTCACATCTAGTTATTGATACACATAGTTAGTGATTTGTAACATGTACGAGGTACGGTGTACACAAACTAATAAAGAGAAACCAAGGATGGGAAACAAACAGTAATTTTCCGAATTTTTGTTCAACTTATTTATTAGTAAAAAATTTAACACGGTAAAAATAAATCACATATTCAATGATTTTCATTTCATGTCACTCCCAGTTCCTAACTTGGTTTTCCCATACTTCACAACCACTTACATCTTTTCGGCTCAAACCTTTTTCCAATCTCATAACCCATTTCCGTTATCTAATCGACTGCCACATCCACTAGTGTGTGCGGTAGACAGTTGTGGCTGTGTATCTTTATAGAAGTAGTAAACAGCGGAGGATGAGTGCCAAATACGGGCTTCACCAATGATGCTTTGAGAAAAAATATGTTTAGATTAGGATAGAGGGTTTCAATATCAAATATTTCAAAAGGAAGTAAAATTATAGGTTAAACTGTGTACGAAAAGGCTGCGTAATTGGATTCTCTGTAGTTGATTTTACGAGGTTGTAAAATAGAAAACTTAACAAAATTATCACAATTTACTACAAACTGAAAAAATACGGAGCGTGTTTCTCATCTAGTTGAAGGAAACATCTAGTTTGGAGGAAATGGTTTGAGAAGTCGCTTTCCTGTTTACGCGATGTTATATGGTTATTTTAGTAAATAAAAAACTTTGAATGGTGAACAAGGTTATTATTAGGTACGGTAAGTTTGTATTGTGTTACATCATTTAATCACAAAATTATGATTATTGTAAGAGTATAGGCTCCTAGGTATGGGCTTCAAACTCGTGTAATAATCTCATAAATTCAGTAGTGGTTCGAGGTATACAGAATGAGTTTCAGTGAAGAAAAACAGTGTAAGCTTCCAATAGCACCAACTCCTTTGGGGCAACTTGTTACGTTGTTAGTACAATCTTTCTAAATTACAACATCGTCGCTGGCAATCTTCTTTGTATTAGGCAAGGACATAGCATAGTCAACTGCAGCACGGCCAAAACAATACCTTTCATAAAACTCTTCTCAGTGCTGTTCTTTTCTGTATCCAATCTATTCACCAAATTATTACATTTATACTCGATGAGCATTTAAATCACTTTACAATTGACAACATTAGATTCTTCATATACCCGTGACTTAGTATTTTAGATTGAATTTAGAATGCATTCAGGTGCAAGAGCATTGAGAATCTCAAGCAAGGACTCAGGTGTCTGCTAGGACGCTGTATGTTGAGGGGTGTAGGCAGGCTGGGTGTGGGGGGGGGGGGGCGCCGAGACGCCTGCGCTTGACTGTGGTGACACGCGGGTAAGCGACGCCCGCTACTCAGTCTGTGTGCGGCGCCGAGACGGTGTGTGTGTCACGGGTCGTTGCCATGTAGCGCCGTGTGTCATGGACAAACTATGAGCAACCAACCATATGTTGAGGGAGGCCCAGATATTAAAGGTGTGTAAATAAAAAAATAAATTTGGTGTTCAACGTTTCTAACAGTTTTAAGGTGTGTCTCTTAGATTTAATGTTGGCTTGACGAAGAGTATTACGTTGTGACTAGTATTTTAGTAATTTATTACCTTTTTGTTCGTGGGATACAATTCACGTAATTTATCCAAAAAATCGGTTATTAACATTAGTTTAAGCCATAAACCGGAGCAAATAAGTAATATTACTAAGATAATGAACAGTGCAATGTAAAATAAAGCCTATCGATAAATGTTTATGGTATTGAATTTTGATAAAATCTTTGTTTGGGAGTATTCTGGCAGTAAATTTTACAAGCGAGAATATGGTCATGTTAGAGATTTAAAAAATTATGAGAAGAAGAAGTGTGTGTTACCACAAATTTTTAAGGTAGATAGTAGTACCTACTCATTTATATTTACTAATTTATTTACTTATTTGTTAGTTTTATTTACTAATTTTGTTAAATAAAACACAAGCTAACCCAATTGTAGCTGCTTAAAGATTACTCAAAAGTTAAAATATGAAATTTCTAGGAAATAATGTAAGAAATAATATAAATAGTTCAATTCTAATTTTAATAATAATAAAAAAACATATTGTAAATTTCAAGTTATGTATTCCCACTGTCTGAACTTAGTCAACGTAAATCTGATGTTGCAGTTGTAGTAAGTAGGATTAGCAAAACCATTACACCAGCACATTACACAGAAAGATCTTAACCCTTTAACCTGATGAGTCACTTTGAAGGATGAATACCAAATACGATTCTTAAAGTCTACTGTAGGGTTTTAATTCAAACAAAAAATATTAAACGTAATTCAAATTAATTGCAACGACGTGACCCAAAAAATCTATATCTAATTAGTGCTGATTGAATGAATAACAGCGAGGTTCTGTTCCAATCGTCAATGTTTACTATTGACAGTCAACAACAACAATAATTAGGCACTTTTGTCATGTTAAGCTCATAAGCAGGCAGCTCGACAGTACACAACACGCCTTACTTTGAAAAAATACTTCCATAGTAAATTAGGGCTATATGTTTTTTAAAGAAAAATACCACTATTTTGTTATCATTAATTTGGGTATTGTAATGAATATAGTTGTCAAAACCATGCAGTAAAGCTAAAACTGTTTAGCCTCAAGCGAAATACGCGTACTATAAATTATTTGTTTTATCCCCTGGAAAAATATAGACAGCAATATACAATTATTTTTGTATATTTATGTATACTTATTTTACAAATCAAAATATTCAATGGATGAATTTTATTTTATTCGTGCGGATAATTCTAATTCGAACACTATTATAAAATATCATTTAACACAATGTAACCTATTTCTGTATATGTAATTATACAAATGATTGATGATTGTGTCTCCAGAGATAACTCGCAACATATCATCGCATCAGTTTATACAATATGATATGTTGTAGTTGTTTGTAGTGTTAGAAAATAAGGGAATGCATGTCTAATCGATATTGAGCGCAATTATCAGGTGATTATCCTCGATAATCAGCTGATCAGCTGATCAGTTGACAATTTTAATTAATGGTCCGTCTTGTTCAATGTTCCTGTTGATACTCGCGTAATTTTAACCCAAGTTGGGGGTTAAAGGAAGGTAGATTAAACTGATTTAAAAATTTCAGTTTTAGTGAAAGTGAAGTTGACGAGATGGAAATGAGAGCACCAACTGTTTGTGCTAATATTTTGCAACCAAAATCGAAACAAATGTATGAAATTACATACCAGATATTCATTAAATGGACGAAACAAAATAAGGTTAGATTGTTAAATAAAAATGAGCTTCTGGTTTATTTTGAAAACCTCTTAACCGTTGTTTCACCCAACTCGTTGTGGACGACATATTCGATTCTGAGATCCAACTGTAAATTAACTGTTTCACTATATTGTTCAGTTGTCCAAATAAATAAAAATAGTAATGTATTATTTAAAGAAATTTTACTAACACGTAATTACATGAAATCAGCTGATTATACAATAAGTCGTTGCATCACTTTCAGTGGCAATGACAATCAACGAAAACATAACCTCTCTAAGAAGTTATGAGTAATGATTGTAAGTAATTAAAAACCAGATTGTTAGTACTTAAAAAACTGTCGTAGGTAAAGTAGTGTACGCAACTAGCGTTAATAGTCTTTACGACTTAAATTTTCTACTCGTGTCGTAAAGACTAACTTAACGCAATTGTTGCGTAAACTACTTTTTCGATCAAAATTACAAAAGGCGGGTTTTTGTGTTCTTTTTTTACCTGGTAGATTATTTATTTCCAGGGATCTAGATACAATATCTCTGTCTCACTTATAAACGATTTTGCACAAGACAAACATTTAACAATAAATCTTCAAAGCAAGCCACTTAACTTTGTTTAGGAAGACTCTCTGCTTGTTTTGCTCGCTCTTAATCAAGTTTGTGAGTTAAATGAAAGAACTCTTTACACAGTCAATTTTAAGTCTCTTTACTTTCATGGTTTTATTACTAATTAAATTTAATGTACTATTTGCTTTATGAGCAAAATAATATTTATAGTACCCTGAATCAGGACCATCACAAACGAGTAATTGTACAGTTACGGTTAAATATGGACTACCGCAGATGGATCTAGACTCTAGAGTAGATATGTAACGAATAGTACTTTTGACAGAACATCTAATAGCTCTCACGTTGACCTCATGTTCAATGCAACTGGTGTAAAAATTAAAATAAATTAATTTAAATAATTCATGACAGATTTCACTTATTTGCTAAAATGTAGCACGTAATGTATGTTGTTTTCATAGTACCTAATTGCTATGATATATGGAACTATCAACAAAATACTATACAATTATGAGAAAAAGATTTAATATTGTGTATCCTATACAGTTAGCAATATTTTCAATCAATTTATGCCATAAAATATTGGAAGTAAAATGGTTTATTTTAAATAAGAAAACTGCTTTAAAAACATACAGGGTGATTGATATAAGTGTGCCAGCCGTTTTATTCGAAAACCATAAGAGATATCAAAAAAAGTTAAATGGTAACTGCCTTGAATTTTTTATTTTAAAAATTGTGGTCTAGTCTAAAAAAAAATGTTAGCCGCCATTTTTCCAATATGGCCGCCAACTTTGATTTTTCTCATGGAACACCCTGTATTTCATGATGTATTCCGGTAGAAAATGTAATTTTAAGACGATTTTATTCTTGTGATTTTTTTCATAAACCTAACCGTTTCAAAGATAATAATGGTTAAAGTTGTGAAATTTTGAATAGTTTTTTGAATAAAACAGCTGGCATGCTTGCTTAGGCCTTTCGAAACTCTTTCTTATGCCTAATTTTTTAAACTTTAAACATTATTATCTTTGAAACGGTTAGGTTTATGAAAAAAATCCCAAGAATAAAATCGTCTTAATATTACATTTTCTACCGGAATACATCATAAAATACAGGGTGTTGTGTAAGAACAATCAAAGTTGGCAGCCATATTGGAAAAATGGCGGCTGAAATAATTTTTTTGACTTGACTAAAATTTTTAAAATAAAAAATCCAAGGCACTTACCATTTAACTTTTTTTGATATCTCTTATAGTTTTAGAATAAAACGGCTGGCACACTTATATCAATCACCCTGTATAAGCAACATAATGGCTGTATTTTAATGTGTCTCAAGATGTCAAGTACATTTTAATTTGCATATTTGAAAAGATCACCAAACTAAGATCAATTATTGTGTCATGATGTTCCTTCTATAAAGGAAGTCAGACAAAAGAATAAATAACATTGTTGTCAATGATTTCACAGTTTGCATACTCTCTGACCTTGCCCTTATCACTGGCAAGGTTACTGGCCTGATAAGAGTCTAGTCATTGTTGCTATATTCCTTGTGCTGTAATTTTTCCTGCCAGCTGTTACAAATGTTTTTTTGCATAAATAATATCAATGAATAGCAAAATACAAAATTATTTAAAGCCTTAAGTTTTGACTTGGAAAAGGCATAAGGTGCAAAGCACTTATAGTGTGTTATGGATCAATAAATTGTAACGTGGTCAAATACAAATAGATGAAATAAAATAATCTTAAGTAACATAATATAAACCTATTATGATGAAATTAAAATTCAGTCCTAAACAGAATCACAGAATTGGCACACGAACTACCCATCACACCAGTGCTAGAGACTCGCTCATTCTTGCATAGAGAGAGGCATGGTCCTTTTTATTTTATGCTTTATGTATTACATAATTTTTTTTAGAATCAACTAAAGGGAACCCCGAAAGTATTATTTTTAATAGTACTTGAAAAGAATGGGGTCTAATAAATGTTTCTGTAAAATTAAAGTAATCAGCCAATTACAAGTTAAGAAGAGAAAAAGAGGAAATATATAAGATAAAAAAATAATTGCATCATACCTTTATAACAGTGTCTATGAATATTTTTTCATCCGGAAACAAAGACAATTAATTAAAAATTTGCCTATTGATTTATGAATGTGTGTCTTTCGAATTTCTCTAATTTTATATTTTTGAATAATGGCACAAACATTGGTTTGAAAAGATTACCAAACCATCCAGTATTGTTCGGATGCTAGTTCTTTGATGAATTTCATTAGAACAGTAGTAAATGCATTTTCTTACGAATACAATATATAGGCCTATGTTATATTTTGATTAAACATAAATGGTTCTTCAATGAAACATATAAATAATGGTAAAATAGACTCAATACATAGACATAATTCAACAAATACACATACCTAATAGAACTTGATACTTGGTACAGGCGTTCATAATCATACGACTACTCACCGTTTCAATACAATTTATGTTTCCAATAAAAATATATAAATAATTAAATGAGATACTTAGCTGAAAAGTGTAGGTTGACCTCTTATCAGTAAGCATAAAAGGTAACCTTCAGATTCACCATACAACACTGTGTTATTAATGCAGTTCCCGCACGTAGTCAAGTGGCGACCCACCTT